TTACAAAAACACCAAAAATAACTTCAAAAATACCAAAACCACAAAAAACAACCTCATCTATAGTAAAAATTTTTCACTTACATTACTACAGTAAAATATTTTAAAAATAACCTCATTTATAATAAAAAAATTTCATTTACATTGTTACAGTAAATTTTTTTTAAAACATCCTAAAAAATAACTAATCCAAACGGAACTTTATCAATTGTCATATTGGCTCATAAATTAAAATATGAGTAATTTGAAATTTTGTTATAATTCACCAAAAGACACTACTGTCCTCCTTGAAACAAATCATGCTCTTTCAATCTTGTTCAATCGATTGCATTTACCTTTTATGCTAATTGTCCATTCCTGAGATTTGTAGTTTGAACTAAGTAAGTTCAAATTTTGTGCTTGTGATGTTTCAAATCTCTCAATCTTGTATTTGGCAAAGAAATAATTATCAATGTTCTTCTAGGATATATATGAAAAAAAAATGTTCTTGCAGTGTAATCAGTCAACAATAGTGTATGCAAATGTTCTAGGGTTAACTGGTTATCATGATGCTAATAGTTTTTGCAACTCAATCCATCTATATACTTTACATATCGTTTAATTAAAAAATGAGTACATTTTTTTTAATTATTTTTTTATTTCACATATATCAAATTGCTACAATCTTTAAACATTCGTCAAACGAAAAATTAGGCTGTCATCATCCCCAATACATCGTAATAATGTCTGTCTACCATTAGCACATGCTTTTCATTTAATAACATAGGCAAAAAAGCAGGCAACCAATCAAGGTTCACTAAAACTTTTGTACAATGTACAACACATGCATGCAGCCAACAATAAGTACTAATGAAAAAACCTACCTAATCCACTTAATTCACTAGAAAACACAAACCATAAAGGATCGCCTCAGTCTTTTGAAAATAACATATCACAATCTCAGCGCAGAAAACACACCATCAGTCCACACAATGTTTGTGAAAAACCCAAATAACCAAGGGCTATCAACAAAATTACCATTGAAATTGAGGTCATGATTTCATAATTGACTCGAGAACACAATATACAAACCTATAACGTTCACTGTAAAAAATAATAGTGATCTAAGGTCATGGGACATTTGCCTTGCTCAACCTCCTAAAGCTCAGACTTTTCATCTAACCACCTAGGCCCATAAGACAAAGTCAATTTTTGGAAACATGTAAAAAAAAGCCATCGCAAGTAACTTATTCATTAAGAGTAGGTGTGTCAGGAATAGAAGAGTTGGGGAAAATCAAAATATAAAAACACAAAAAAGTGGATAATTAAACAGTGGAGACAGATCAAAAAAGGGTTACCTCAAAAATTAATCACTCTATATGAACCCTATGCAGTCTTTCAATATTGAATAACCAGTTGGTCCTGAAAAGCAAAATCGAAGAGTAAGTTTAATGCAAAGACAACTTAGTGGTACATGAGAACCTAATTTCATAATACTTCTTCTAAAACATTCCATACGTGGGAAAGATTAAAACAAATAAGCAAACATAGGCCACCTGGCACTAAATTAGAAAGCTATCTGCCAAAAGACGGCAAAGGCAAGAGCTTTAATGCAAGGCAATGCAGATGAAATACATGCAAATCGTCCACCAAACTATTTAAACCTAAAATATGAACAATTTGTTATAGAATCTATGACCCGCAAAACATAGAAACCAAAAAAAAAAAAAATCAGGAGCAAGACCAATTACAGTAAAAGAGAACTGCAGAGAAGACAACATACACGAAAACAGAAAAAAATCACCACCATAAAAATACTAACGATAATCGACATGAACTATAATCTACATAGAAATACACAGAAATACTAACGATAAAAAAGAAAGCAAAAGACCACCATGTACAAAAAAATTTCCAAGATTGCACTTGAAGGGAACATCTATCTAAATTTTCAACTACACATCTAAAAATAAATCCAGAAAGCCAATATATACAAAAAGATATTTATTAAAAAAAAAAAAAGATGGCGAGGAAAGAATTCAAGGAAAAATTTAGGAACTGATTATTAAAGGGAAAAAACTTTGATGCTCCACCTTTCTGATGAAAGCAAACAACATAGATTGATACTTCTAACAGGAAAAAGCGGGAAAAAAAAATATAGAGGCGAAAGCTAAGAAACAGAAAATCTAGCTCCAACCTTAAGGATCTTGAGGCCGGAGGAGACTCTTGATACTCTGATTTCTTCTGCACCACTGATGCTATGAATTATAATGCTCTCACACTTTCAAAGTGAAATCATAACCTCCCATCCTCTCTTTAAAAAAAAAAAATCTTTTATGCTTGGATTGCTGGCTTTCCGTTCTCGTGCTTTTGTTTGCCATTTTCAGATCAAGTTGGTTGGATGTATTATTACAATAAAGAAAATGAAAGGAACCATATAAGAGCCACAAACATGGCCAAAATGACAGGAAAGAAAACAATCAAAAAAAATATAGAGAACAAAGTCGAGAGAGAAAAAATGCAAGTCCAACCTTAACCCTCTTGAGGCCGGAGGAGACCCGTAATACTCTAATTTCTTCTACACCGGGGAAAAAAATTTACACAATCTCACTCTCATCAGGATGCTGAATGTTGGAAGACATTTCCAAATTTTTGGACTTGCAACATCACAAATATATACATATTATATGTTAAAATTCGACTCGTAAACCCTCCAAAAAATCCAAAAGGCTAGAGAAGTCTTGATGATGAGAAAGAAAAAGAGTCTTACAAGTCCAGACCATTGTTGTTCTTGTTGTTGCTCTCGGTTAGAATAAAAAAAAAAAAAGCCCAAGAAAAGAAAAGAGGAAGAAGATGAGACAAATAAGAGGATGATTGATGGAAAAATGAGCTGAAGAGTGAGACAACGATGAAGAAAGGAGACGAAAAATGGGCATTTCTGACTCCTCGGTCTCCACCCCATCAGGTAAGCAAACAAGTCAAGCCACTCGCGAGCGGCTTGGTGAAAAGCTATGTTTTCAGACTCGGACCGGGTATTGACTCGGCTGAGCTCAGGGGTCAGGGGTCAATGGGTTCGACCGGATTCAACCGGGGTCAAATTAAATGACATTATAAATATGTCATAAATATTTATTAATAATATTTAATCAAAATAAGATATAAAATTTATCTTTAAATTGGTGGTTTACAACTTCATAAGTTTAGATTTGTCATAACTTCAATGTTATTAATAAAAATTATTTAGAAATTAAAATATTATGTAAAATATCTAAAAGCATGTTAATATCAATAAAGGTGTATACATATGTGTTTGATGTTTCAAAGCCGTTTAACAAGAAAGTGCAAAGAAATTAGAACAATCAAATAGTAATTCATATAATTTAATGCATATTTACAAGTTCAAAGTTAAATTTGTGGAGAATATTTATAGACTATGAAACATTTCTAGGTATGTTAATAGTTTTTCAATATCCAAGGGGTTAGAATACAATATTGAAAAAGCTTTTTGAACCCTACATTAATATTCCCCCAATTCCTTCCTCCTTTACCTCTAACCGCCGACAAAGGCTTTTCTAAACTAATGCTACCTTTTCTTGTTCCTGTTCTCCGTTCATTCCTCTCTTCCTTTTTCTTTTCTTTTTTTTCTAAAAAAAAAAAATCCAAAGAAGGATAGAACATGGAAGGCCGCATAAGCTCTCAAGTCTCAAGCCCATCGGTGGCAAAAGCTCTTAGGCAGCCACTCCGAATGTTTTGAGAAACATTTCCCCTGTGTTTTGAGATGGACGAATTCGAAGAGGTTGAGCAATCTTTAAGTTTTTCCAGCGAATTTTTGACGATGCTCTTGATTTTTTAGTTCTCTTGACATGGATTCATTGCAAGAGTAAGCTTTACAATAGACATTGAAGTCTTGTCTGTTCTGGGTTCTAACTGCAACTTCAAGAACAAAGTGGACAAGCTAGTCTTGTCCATTCTTTCTGCTTTTCGTTGTTTTTTTTTAGTTTTATTTCCATTCTTATTTCTTATTTCTTTTCAGGATTTCCATTCTTATATCCTTAGGTATTTATTTTCAAAACTAACAAATAATCAAACTTTTATCTTTTTTCTTCAATCTGCTCTTTTCTTCATCTCTCTTTCTTTTTTTTTTTTTGGTCTTTTCCCCATATCTAAGATTAAATCTTATTTAGAAAAAGATATCAAGCACTGATTGTGGTGGCTAAATTGAAGGAGCTGAGGAGGTGAAAATGGGTTTTAGAGAGGTGAGAGATCAGGAGGAATTTAGATAGGCAAAGAAAAAAAAAAGCAACAAAAATGGCAAAAAAAAAAAAAAACCGGGTTCTCATCGGTTTTACCGGTTTCCGGTCAAACCCGGGCTTGACCGAGTTTCTGTCATCCGAGTTTTTAGAGCAGCTCGGACCGGACACTTGACCGGTTCCCGGTTGAACCGGTCGGACCGGCCGGTCCGGTCCGAGTTTAAAAACACTGGTAAAAAGCTTGGCTCAAGCTCGAGCTACTCGTTACATTCAATGAGTCGAGTTCGACCTCCAAAAATAAATACTCAAATGCTCAACGAGTTTAATCGAGTTTTCATATTATATTTATATTATATATTTTTAAAAAAATTTATATGTTTATTTCAAAACTCGAGTTCGAACTCGAGTAGATCAGGCTTGATATTTACTCGAGCTTACTCGAGTTCAAACGAGTCGAGTTAGAGTTTAATTTTATTTTATTGAGTCGAGCTCGAGTCCAAATTTGTTTACTAGTTCGAGCTCGAGCTCGAGTAGCACTGATTCTGATCGAGTTCGATCTCGAGCATGGTGCTACTCGAACTCGACTCGATAGTATCTCTAATCCCGATAAGGTTAAGGTAAAGAACAATAAAAGGGCACAAACATGGTCAAAATTACAAGAAAACCTATCCAAACATTAATAAACGGACACACAAATCTCCAAATTTACGGGCAAAAACCTGACCACCAAGGGCATTATAGAGAAAGAAAATGCAAAGTCAATATCAGAAAATTCAGGAGCCACAAATTTCACCTTTATGCCACGTTGGAAAGACCAAAATACCCCACGAATTCATCAGAATTACCATCAAAACCGGCCCATGGCTGCACTGTAGCTAAACCCTCTTCCCCCTTTTATATATTGTAGATTCTAAAAGTGAAAAATTGTGCAGGATATAACCACTTCAACACAACATTCTAAAAGTGGAAGAAGGTGATTAAAGGCACTAGAAACTTAACCGCTTAAAATCTAAACACTAGCCAACTTCATTGAGTCACTGCAAAGTACATGATACCAAGCATAAAGTTGTCCTAATACATCAAAATACCTAACAAGCACTCAGCTTCTCAAACTTCGTACAACCAATTTCTCACTAACAGTTTTCATTGCATAACAGAGCACATGGGTCAATTAAGATTGCATAGCATGATACTTCTCCAGTTCTTTGTCAAGTTGATCAGCTGATTTGTCAAGAGCTTTCTTTATCCCACGGCACCCACCACGAAATTTAAGTTTGGAAATCAGGAATGCAATAAACAGGGGCCATCAGTTATTGACTTGTACAAATACAAACAACAAAAGAAAAACCAAAATATCAAGTCCATTTAATATTTCATCCATGAATAGCACTTTAGACGGACCAACCAATACCTCACCTATCAAACATAGGCAAGTCAGTGTGACGATAAAACTTGCTGTCCATGGTCAAGAAGCAACAGCCTAAAGAATTTACCAGTTTTAAGCCTCTTCTTTTGGCCACGTAACATGTCAATTCTGCATTTGAGAAGTTCCCAAACCATTTGAAAGAAACTTTAAATTTAAGAATATATTAAGGATTGTTGCCCATACTTTGAAGGTACAACATATTACTTCAAACTTGATCTGCAAAGCTTCCTAAGATAGCTGCCAAATCAAGAAACCAGGGTTTGACCATGAAGTAAGACTCTAAACTCCAAGACTTGCAATTTACCAGAATCGATCAAATGGACAACAATAAGTAATGATAGCAAACATTTCTAGGGACAGAAAATAAAAAATGCATTCATTGTGCTAAACAAAACAGCGTTAAAGTCGTCAAGAACAAACATTTGATCAGAGAATAGCTTTGACAGAAAAGAAAAGAAAAACTTACCACAAAATACGACTTCAATGCCGGGTTTCAGGACTTAACTCCTCAAACGTAGCAATGTTGTAAAGCCTTAGGAGATAAGAACCCCCAAAATGACGTGCAAGAGCTAAATTCCTTTCTGGCAATGATGGCTATTATAGACAAAAAGAGCAAAAGAAAAAACAATAAATGAAAGATTAATCATACGATAAACATGGCTGTTACATATCCAAAAACAATAAAAGAAACATTAATTATACGATAAAGATGGCTGTTACGTGTAACAAAGAAAGATCAATTACGACATGTGAGGATGTGAGGAGGTGGTGGTTCACTTAATAGAGAAATAAAGTTAGAAGTATTACTATATCTGCATTAAAGTCTTGTATTATCTGCTGATAGTTAGCGAGTGTGTCCGCATCCTCAGTGTGAGCACCAAAATTTCTTAGATATTCTACATAAGACCAGAAGTTATCAATGTAATCTTTTGGCTTAGACACACTTTCCAATTTTAGTTCCGCTGCTTTTTTTGCCGCTGAATTGAAGGATAATTAAATACAGCGGTATAGATGCTAGGTCGGTTAGCTTGTCGAATTCGAGATGTCCAAGATCCGAAACTAACTCTTAAATTCTTTGCTCTCTTTTTCATCCTTCGCTCAGCACGAATGACAATTTCCTCACGCTCTACTTGCGTCAAGAGGAAATGATGGTACTTCAGTTTTGGCATAGAGAAATGAAATAAAACAAATTTAGTAAAAGAATAAAGCACACTAAACTTCAAAAACAGGACCAAAAGTCAGAAATAAATCTCTTTCCACTGCTCAAAATGAAATAAAACAAATTTAGTGGAAGAGCGAAACACTACACTAAACTCCAGAAACATTACAGAAAGTTAGAAACTCACTGCAGAAATTCTCTCTCACTACAAAATGAATCATACTCCGCTCGTAAAAGGCTAGGATGAGGTTGTGGAAGTAAGTCGTTGAACATTTGATGTAGAGAGTTCATATCAAGCAGACTGCAGCTTTCCCACTCCTTTTTTCCCTTGTTTCTGCAATCAAATTTAATCAAGAACAGCTTTACTTTTTCTCCGGCCACAAAAATTTTGTTCCCCGTTATGTCGCCGTGGCCAATTTTCATCTTCCAAATTTCTCCAAAGCATGAGATGATGCCCCTAGAGATAAGTTACAAAAAAATCACATGCATGTGTATCTAATTTCTTACATAATTACTGTAGCACTTTTTGTGATGTGATGTATGTGAGATAAAAAGGTGGTTGAGAATATAAAAAGGTGGGTTGAAAAATGTGTTTATGATGCAAGTAAAATATTCTTTGGGATAAGTTCCCTATCCAACCAAACCCTTCAGTTTTTTGGCAATTAATCTTTGGCCAAAATAAAGATTGGCTCGTTTCAATCAAGCAGGGCCACGGGCAGGAATGGTTGCAGGTGCAATAGGAATTGTTGCACCTTGCAACCGTTTCTAGTGATTTTATGCATTTTGCATACCGTTTAGTTTTGTTTGTATACGGCGTAATTTTATTTGCACAACATATAACTTTAGAACAAATTTTTATGGATCCCACACACGTTATTAAAAACGATGTACAAGAAATGATTTGGACCGTACAATTTTTTTGGCCGTAAATAGCTCAGAAGCGATCCATCTGATGACCGTTCCTGCTCCTCGTCCAATCAAGTGTGCCTTCTTACCATGTACTCAAGTAGTACCGGTGCTTGACAATATTCAATTTTTAAAAAATTCATATACTCTCACAATTAAGAAATGTATAATTATGACTACATAAAACTCGTACGTTAACAACTAAATTTAAAATTCCTTACAACTGTAATTAAATCTTGAAGGAGTTAAATTCAGAATTCCTTACAATTGCAATTAAATCTAGAAAGAATTAAGTTCAAACTTCTTGACAACTGTAATTAAATCTAAAGGGTGCAATCTGAAAGTGTTTCTTTTTTATCTTTAGTTCCCTTGACTTAGTTCGAGTTTCTCCTACTATATATAATATATTAGCACACGAATAGGGTAGTGTTCCTGATTAACATTGTAAAAAAAAATTCATATACGTAAATTACTATAACGTCATAAACCATTTTTTTTTTAAAAGGTACTTGCTCAGGTTTGGAATCGTGAGTTGGCCCAAACTAGACTTAACATCATAAAGTGAAACAACTGGCGGGTTGCAACACTAATTAAGGATATTCAGTCTATTTGTAATTTGTTTCACCAGTGCTCTTTCTCTTTTGCTAATGCTGGGAAATTAGATAGTATTAAGCTGAGCATTTATGCTCTTAACATTTGAGTAGATGAAGAATGGATAAATCTCAATTTTAAATGCTAGCGCATCAATGAATAGTACGAGACTGTTGTTCCTTTTGTTTGGATCCTTGTCTAATTACAATAAAGTTTTTACGACGAATTATAAAACTATCGTTTCGACAAAAAAAAAAAATCATTACGCGAAACAAAACAAAGGTCCAATTAAGTTTTACATTCGGAGAAAAAAATAAACGACGTCGTTGGCTGTTTCCACCTTTCTTCTTCCTCCTCCGGTTCACACACACTCAAATAGAGGACAGGTACCCCTCCCGCCTCCTTACGGCGGCGTTTCGTTCTTCTTCCCGCCTTTTTTTTTCTCTTTTTGACTCACTCATGAACGGAAGAAGCAAGGGCCAATTTCTTGTATGCAATTTCCAACAAATCAGAACAATAGTAAAAGTCCGGCTGAAATGGGTGAAGAACAGCTCCTTAGACCATTAATCGACGTCCAAACAGACCTTAAAGCCGCCTGCCTTCTCAAGGACGCTATAGCACGCTTCTCCACAGGCTATTTGCCCTCCAAATCACTGGAAAATACCCAGAAGCTATTGGGCATCACTGTCCCGACGCTGCGTTTCATTCGCAGATTCCCGACTTTATTCCATGAGTTCCCTCACCCCAAATGGCCTTCTTTGGCCCGTTTTGAGCTGACCCATGTTGCCAAATTGCTTCGTCAGCAAGAAATGAAGGTCTTTGATGAATGCCAGACTGATTTGGTTGAAAGGCTTTGCCTCCTCCTCACGATGTCCAAGTCCCAAATGGTATGCTCATTTTGCTTTCACTTTTACTTACTGAAATTTTGTGTGGGTTTTTTTTTTTTTGGTTTATGTCTTGTTTTAGTTGGGTAAATATGCTTTATGTTTTATGCTTTTGCCGTTTTTAATTTAATTAGACGTCAAGCTTGCTGCTATTTCTGTAAGTAATTTTGCTTATGTATAAAGTAATTGTGGGGCTTGTCGTTTGGGAAATCAATTTTACTAAAGTTGTTATCGTTATTGGGTAATTGAGGTTGTTTATGACATTTTTTTTCAAAAAGGTTTAATCAGGTATCAAGATTGAATAAAAATGTGATTTGTATTTCCTAATAGTTTTTTTTGTTCTTTTTATTGGTTTTTATTCTTCCGTTAATTAAATTGGGCATCAAAATGATAAATATTGGATTTTTAAACTTTGCGGACGTCGGACTATCTTTGGTGAAGGAGAAACATATGAACCAAACAATTTGATTGTTCCTGTGCAATTTGGTTGTTATGCTTTTGTTCGTCTGCCAATGCCAAGGAGTTGATGTGAATAGTTTGGAGGTCTATTTGTGTTGAGATGTGTCTTCCTGTATAAAAATTTGTTGACGGTCAGCTGTTACTGTTTGAAGAGCTGATGAATTATTTCTCGTGCTACCTTTATGGATTTTGTCCTAAGAATCAACAATGATGTGAAGTGGTGTCAATGGTGATATTTGTCTTCGCTTTTGCATCCTATGCATATATATATCATGGAATTCTGTGAGCTAGAATAGACGAGATCTGCCCTTGTTTAGCTGATTTGATCTTGTGTCAATACTTATAGAGGACAACACATGAATAAATATGATCACTTTTCTTGTATTAGTCGAATTCTAGTATGATGCGGTGATGTTGCACCATCAAATTAATGTGCAAGTTTGGATGCTTTATATCTTCATGGATTATGAGTTTTGTTTGTTTTATATGCAGATACCTCTGCAATCAATACATCCGTTGAAATGGGATTTTGGTTTGCCAGATGATTTTGACAAGAATTTAGTCAAAAGGTTCCCAGATCATTTTCAGATTGTTAAAGGAACAAATGGATTGGCTTGTTTGAAGCTTGTTCAGTGGCGAGAAGAATTTGCTGTATCTGAGCTGCAAAAGAGCAATGAGAAGAGAGGATTAGAAAGTGATAATGGTGCTGATGGAAGAAATGCTTATAAGTATCGGGAATTCAAGAGGGGAAAATCAGCTTTAGAGTTCGCAATGAGTTTTCCCAGAGGCTATGGAGCTCAAAAGAAGGTGAAGGCATGGATGGAGGAATTTCAAAAGCTACCCTACATCTCTCCTTATGAGGATTCCAGGAGGATTGACCCAAATAGTGAACTTGTGGAGAAGAGAGTTGTTGGAGTGCTCCATGAATTTTTGAGCTTGACTATTTACAAGAAGACAAAGAGGAATTACTTGAGGTCCTTGAGAGAGGAGTTAATTCTTCCCCACAGGTTTACTCGACTATTTACTAGGTACCCAGGGATATTTTACTTATCGCTAAAATGTAAGACAACTACTGTTGCACTGAGAGAGGGGTACCGCAGGGGAAGACTAGCGGAACGACATCCTATTGCTTGACACAGGGATAAGTTTCATCATGTAATGAGAACTGGGTTGGTATACCGATGTAAAGGGATTGAAGTTCTACCTCAGCTGGACAGTTTGATTGATGAAGCCGAAGAGGACAAAGTTGAAGGTCAAAGCGAAGAAGAAGAGATTGAAACAAGTGATGAATGCTATGAAGCTGGTACTTCGGAGGTGGAGAGTGCGTCTGATGAGGATTAGCATTGAGTTGTCTGAATGACCCCTTTTTTTTGTCGGGTTGGGCTAAGAGATATTGAGCTCTATAGGTAGATAGGTCCTGCTGTGTAACATTCTAGATCTGTATTTCAGTATTCTTGCTTGATGCATGGTCTGGTATACAAGTGTTACAGATGGCTTCATTGCTCATTCAAAGCGAGAATAGTATTTATTTTTGTAATTGGCTTACAGATATGTTTGCTAAGATTTTCATGTTTAGCATTGCCATTTAGTAGAGAGCCAGCAACTGGGATGCAGCAATTGCTTGGCTTACTTGAACTAAAGACTTGATGCTGTATAACATTTTACCTGAGGAAATGAAAAAACATGGAAATGTGTTGTTTTGAGATTTTCGTCATGTGTGCATGTGATGTGTTAGACTTTCACCCGGATTCCCAGACAGTTTCATCCTTTCCTTGAGGAGCTCCAAGACTATGCTGCAGTCTCCCAATTACCAGACATACATCTCACTTGCAATGGAGCTTTCTCGTGAAAATACATTTATTTCTGTGTATTCATGGTGCCTTGCATTAAGAGCCAGGGAAGCTGTTTCTCCCTTCTGTATCTTATCAAAACTCCAGGTTCTACCTCGCTAGTTGTGGCTGTCATAGATCGGATGGTATCAACCTGGCAGTTTGATGGCTTAATTATTTTTCTTTCACTTTGACAAAAAGAAAGAAAAGCACTGGTTTGACAAAACGTTCTCCAGCATAATTGTTCAATAGTGATGCGAAAATGGACAAATAGTTGCACCCAGCATTACCAAAGTTGTGGTAAGGACTTGCTAAAAAAGTACTATAGTTGTACATATTTTAATAATCACATAAAATTATACCTACTTTAATAAGAATTGCAAGAAAATGAATGGTAAAGTATCTTTGATGCAATTGTATGTAATTGTCTTGTTCATCTTTTCTACTAACAAAACAAAAATACAATTTGTGACTTACAACCACGCTTTCATTTTTATCAGCCTATTATAAAAATAAGAAAAAACCTTTTCCCGAACCAAGTGCATTTGTTGAGCCTGTATATAACAAGCCAAATCCAAGTTAAAAATTGTGAAATTTCTGTGTTTTTTACTCTTCTGGAAATGATAGACATATGAAGTTCGTTGTCTCGAAATAATCTAGACGAAATTTTCAACGAAAATCATCGTTGAAACGAAGAGTGTGACATCCAAGCTCCTCATCTTTGGATTGGCAACACATTACTAATGGAATGGAATTGTTTGGAAGGTTGTTGACTACACGAACGTAATGCCCCTCGATCGAAGCTATTACATGGATAGTTTCGAAAAAGTAAAATGATAAGATGACTAGATATAGAAGGTTTTTCAGTTTGGTCTATGTCATTTTGCTCAGTGAAATTTAACTCTTTGAATCAGAAAACGCCCTGGAGCTACATGCAAGATGGTAATGTTGTTCCTTTTTTTTTCCTTTTCGCTTAGAGAAAAAACGTTGGAGTGGTTCACTGGGGTTGAAATTTTAACTTTTGTTGGTTAACGCTAATTTTAATATGAATGCGGATAAAGGATTTGGAATCACTCAAAATTTTGGGTAATCGCTAATGAGCATGCATTGATTCCAGCCGCATGGTAAATAAATGTCCATTTTGTGCAAATATGGGAAGTAGTTCACATAATAATTAACCAATTATCTTTTATCTCTTTATTCAACTTCAACAACATCCCTCTCTCACTCTTATTATTTTCTTCCCCTCTTCTTCTGGGATCTTGTTTCTTTGAAAATTAAAGCAAAAGTGTCTATTGAAGGAAACAATATGATGCTGGTCTGTCTAATGGGTGCTCAAACTCATTAGGATATGTTTTAGATGTTAGAATTTTTGAAAAGGTAAAATTAATTAGGAAAAGTCTATAAATATGAGAGAGGATAATAGTTGTTAGTATGTGTATGTGTGTAATGGATTCGGTGAAATTTAAATGTGTTAACGAGTGCTTATTGGACACCCGTTAGAAAAATCGTACGATGCACACTAATTAATTAATATGATTAAAAGAATATCAAAATGAAAACTCGTTATTCCAAGTGGGATACAGGGCAGGGGACCGTCCCTGGACAGTTCACGACCAAGGTTTGGCCAAAAAAAATTATACAGTCCAGATTTCATCTTGTATCTCGATTTTAACAACATGTGTGGGACCTACAAAATTTTGTTCTAAAATTATATGTTGTTAAAAATAAGTTACACCATGTGCAAACAAAGCTATGTCGTGTGCAAAATGCATATAACTGTCAGGAACGGTTGCAGAAGGTCATTATCATAAACAAGATCCTCGGTTTTCGATTGACAACCACTACTAATGGAATAGATTTGTTGAGAAGCCTATGATTGGCCGAGCTAATTAATTTTGGCTCCAAACATCTACAAGGCCAATTTCGGAAAAAAGTAAGGTGGTGTAATAAACTATAGCATTAATTTTTATTTTAGTCACTAAATTTTAAAGTAGGACAATTTAGTCATCAAAGTACGAAAATAGTCCTCCTTTAAAATCTGTCTTACTTTAATCCCTAAGGTACAAAATTTGTCCTATTTAATCTCTAAAATATTAAAAACCAGTCTCACTTTTATCTCCAATGTATAAAATTTATCCTACTTTAATTCCTAGGTACAAAATATATCCCGCTTAATTATAAATTTTATTTGACTTCTGCTAACAATTTTACTTGTCAAAAAAATTTTCATATTTTGGGCACTGAAATATCCTATTTTGAAGTTTAGAAAACGAAATAAAAATACAAGTATAATTGAAAGAGTGCAAAGTGGAATTAACTCTAGATAGTAAGACATGTACACTAGAAAAAACCCTCCATCATTTTTTTTAGGCAAACATAAAAAAAAAAAAAAAAGAACTGTCCATCATTCATGGTATAACTTATCTTGATTTTGATCGAAATGATACATGCCAAGCTTCCTCCTCCTACGTTCTCGCCAAGGATTGACTGTTGATGTTGATTAATCACATAAATATGGCGCATTTACTCTTATAGCTGTCAATAAATGTTAGTTGCCAATCAAGGCAACATTTCAAGTCCTTTAATTACAGAAGGTTTGGCGAAATAAATCATTTGGCTCACAGGTGTTGTGACTGTTGTCAACGTTCTTTACTAATATGAATAGGACTGCAAATAATGGAACAATTTTGGTAGAGAAATGTTATAGTAAGCATTAATTAGTATACCAAAAAAAAAAAAGCTCCTGATGTTATCTTTCTTTTCTTATCTTCTTTATTCCATCCAGTTTTTTTTTTTAGGCTTATATATGAATTTCTTAACTTTGTAAAGTTTTTGTAGGCATATCTAGCCTAAACTAGCCTACTCCTACTGGGGGGAGCCTACTCCAGAGAGTGGCTCAACTAAATCGGAGAAATTTGATAGGAACTAAATTACTATCAGACCAGACGGATGCACCCCACTCTCGTATGAATTTATAACAAGCCTCGTAGAGAGGCATATTAATAGGAGGTAAGATTTGAACCCTTGACCTTCTACCTCACAATTAATGTGGTGGCCAACTCCTCCGGAGGGATTTGGTTAACTTTGTAAATTTAGTTCGACACACAAATTCCTCTAGCAAGCCTTGTTTGAAAGGTGAGTTTTTTTAGAGTTTATCTAAAATTTTACTGTGACTTGCTGTAGAAGTTTTTTTAAAATTTTTTGAAATGTGTAGATTTTTAAATATTTTGAAGTGTATAATTTAAAAATTTTGAGAAATTTTTTGAGATTATTATAACTAAAGTTTTTAAAAAAAACTTATAGCGACAAACTTGGCAAAAAAACTTAACTTCCAAACAAGGCCAAAACATGCGCAGGAGGGATTCAGTTTCCAGCAGGCGGCAGCCAATTTAAGGGAGATAAAAAAAACTTATAGCGACAAACTTGGCAAAAAAACTTAACTTCCAAACAAGGCCAAAACATGCGCAGGAGGGATTCAGTTTCCAGCAGGCGGCAGCCAATTTAAGGGAGATACTGTCCGCTAATAAATAAATATATATATGCAATAAATAAAATCTTCACAAATCATAGAGTAATATATGTGTACAGTGGGGACTTGTACGCCCGCAACATCATCTAGAAGCCACATATTGCACTGATCTTGAGTTCCAGACATCCCTTTGGTCCCTAAAAGACCCTTGAATCATTTTTGACTCTTCCGCAGCACATCACAGGCCTTGTAAGGAGCCAAAAGTTTCCCCCAACAAAGTCCATGTAATTAGCTCCTCGCCAAGTTCCATAAAATTCCAAAACTTGAAAAAAATACATTGATCGGTGACAGAAAATCCCAGCCAGATTTTCAAGATTCAAATTACCATGCTAACAATCTCTAAGCCAGATCAGTTCCTCCATAATGTACAAAGAGACACCAATATCTTTAACCTTCCAATGGTTATACTACAAAACAAAAGGCACTTATCAGGGGCAGGGATTTGGGAACCTTGAATGCACCTTGTTAACATCTCCAATAATGTCATCACTCAGATTGACACTGCAGGCATTGAGAACCTCTTGGATTTGTCACACTGTTGTAGCTCCAAAAATGGCACTTGCAACAAGAGGGTGTCGAAGAACAAAGGCTGCACAGAGAAAACTTCACGATTACAAAGCTGAGGATATCTTTAAAGAAGCATTATCTTATATAGAATACTATAGTATGAGCATAATAGTTTTTTTTAGAACCACCAACACTTGAGCCAAACCATCAGCAGGAGGTACCTCACCTTGAGTGAAGCCAAATGCAGATAATCCGAAAATCTCCTACTCATTACACGAATAAACAACTCATAGGGGAAGTTTATAACTCGGAAATTTCTTCAGTATCATTATGTTCAGAGACTCCGAGACACCAACTATTAGCATAATAACAACTCATCCAGCAACTAGCACTTTTAAAATGTATAGCTTGTTTATAAGAAACACCTCCAAAATAAGCTTGCAAATACAATATGCAGTATCACTGCAAAAGGCCTGATGGTTGAATATAACTGGTTGTTGACTTTTTCTTTTTTCTATATTCTCAGGGGAAAAGCATCTTTATTTGCACCTTTCGAAGGACTAATGGTCCTGGACCACAAAAACAAAATAAAATAATATAAAAAGCAAAATCAACTATTGGTGGTTTTCGATGTTAAGAACTCTTTTTGAGAGTTCAAAGAAAAGAATTTCAGTCAATTTCCATATATCAGTCAGTGGATCAGGTTAGAAAGGGTGAATAGAAATTAAGAGAGAGAGAGAGAGAGAGAGAATGCACTTAAAGAGACATTTAACCACTATGAAGAAAATAAAATGACGCAAAATTCAGGAAAATTTGATATGTAAGCTGGAATCAACCCATGCAAGGCTAGGCATCCCAATATATAGACAAGAGAGAGAGAGAGAGAGAGAGAGTTATACCAATTGCAAGAGACACCGGGTGGACGTCGTATTCTTCAGCAATTTCAAGATATGACTGCACAATAAAGTAAAATCTTGATAAGTAGACAAGAAAATGTGCTTCTATGCACAATCACCCTATATGTTTAAAAGAGCAGTTGATAACATTATAACTTGTTTGGCCACAGAATCCTCCAGAATGTTCAATAAAAACAGTTGCAAGCATAATAAAACTGCCAAATAATATCAAACAATGAATCAAGCTGCAGAAAGAAAATGAATTTAGCAATGCCTGCAAAATATCTAGGCATGAGTTATTTCCTGTTTCCTTTACAATCAACCAAAGATCTCACAAAACCAGCTTGCTTCTCCTCCTATGAAAATAATTGGCTTACTTCAGTGGCTGCCTTTATATTGGTCTTTGACAGGCTGTATCTCGACTCTCCTTCAGCATATCTTCCGGACAAAAGGAAGAGACAACTGTTTGACCAAGATTTGATAGAAGAAACCAATGTAACCTCTGAAAGATTAAAACGAGCATCTGGCCGACCCTTGTCAAGTGAGAAATACTTGCCGGAGAGAATGCCCATAGCTAAAGGACTGTGTACTAACAGACAAACCCTAAATATAAAATTTTGTTTTGTTTTTGTGTGTTGGGGGGTGGGGGGGTCAGTGCAGGAAAATGCCAGCATCAGAATAATTTATTAGACGATCATATGCATATATAAGCATGAAGGAAAGTTCTTCCACTGGAATACAGAATAAGAAGGCCAACAGAAAACTAGATAAGAGTAGTTTCCTCTGTTCTATTTCTGGTTGGTGTAGTGCATATCTGATGAAAACTTCAAAGAAGATGTTTTCACAAAGACCATCACATTTAAGCCAAGAAACTTAACTCCTTTCATATATTTGAAGTATAAACTCTTTTACAGGTTATGTTCTCATTCCACTTAAAAATTCACAAAATCTCTATAACTGCCATGTACCCAAAACCTCAAGAAGATGCACGAAGCCAGTAATTGTGAATACAACAGACAAAAATTAAGACCATGAAAAAGTCAAGTACAGCATGAATAAGTGCGGTTCATGGAAACAAGATGGTCAAAAGGAATGAGTATGACGAATGATAACTTGCCAGAAGATACACTAAGTGAAAGAGGTAAAATGAAGCAAATAAATGCGGCTTGAAAGACAAGAGGCTTCAGGTTTGGAATTTAGACAAAAAAAGAAACAACCATTGATGTGTGGCTAAACCAAGAATGAAGAGTGACATACATATTTATCACAACAAAAATGTAATGAACTCGTAGCAGAAGGCAGTTAAACATGTTGACAGTACAGTATATAACTGAATATTGAAATACATACTTCATAGGATATTAGTGAGCAATCACTTTCTCAATAATTTTTGGAGCTTCCTAGTGGATGGAAGGAGTATTCCCAGTATAAGTGAGGCTTAACTCAGTTGTGCAGATCATACACACATTCAGTACTAAGGGGTACCTCTCATGGTGACAGCATTCAGCCATCCCAAAATCAAAGTTCCGGCAAAGCAAGTTGTACGCATTCTGAAAATAGGGAAGTGAATCATATATTAGCTTCACATACATAGGGCCAACTAAAGTACAGAGATGAACACACATGCAAGAATAGACAGCAAAACAAACTCAAATTACTCAATTATCTAAAGAAGCCACCTTGAAAAAAAAGCCCCGCCAGAGCAAGTTGCACAAGTTCTGAAAGTAGGGAGGTGAATCATACCACAAGCATAGGGTGCACTAAAATACAGAGACAAGCAAACACATGCAAGCATAGACAACAAAACAAACTCATATTACTCAATTGTCAAAAGGAAGCTACCCATACAACACCTGCAAAGATACTATCCTTGGATAGTGAGGTTGCTTTTGGGCAATTTCCAGAAACTTCATGACTCCATACGGAGTCTCATTGCTTAGTCCGATGTATCTGATCTACAATAACAGTCAACATTCTGTAACAGGAATATATCACCCTAAAGCAATAAGTTGAATACGAGCTGAACTTTTAGGTCATCTTTACTAACCTTACCAGCATCAACAGCTCTGCCTAAAGCATCAAGTTGTTCATCAAAACTTATATGTGAAATATAACGGCCAGGATCATAGTCAGTTTCTCCAAACATTGGAACATAACTGCAAGAAATCCCAGTGGACATCATCCACGAAAACAAACTTTTTTTTTTTTGTTCTGTTTTTTTCTGCAGGGGACAATATGTGGGATTACTTCAGTTAGATTTGCAAAGGACAGTTACACATTTTTAGTACGTCAGCTTATTATTCTGGAAACAGAATTTGTTCTAATGGTTACCCATTTGCCACATAGTATCTATACAGAAAAGGTCAGGTCAATGTACAAACCGATCAGGCCAGTGGATTTGATACAAGTCTATGTAATCAGTTTGAACACGCTACAAACTGCAAGAATTTTTGCAATCCTGTCAGAGAGTATTTCAACAAAATCATCTTGAAAACAAAAACATACAAGCCCTGCAGTTAAGAACTGCTACCTCAAACACACACAGACACTAGAGACATACAATCTCTGAATGCCAGTGTAATGATGTAAGTGTAGAACTAGACCCAGCAGACAACAACATTAGCACCACTTAGGCACTCAAGATATAGGTTTACCCCATGAGAGCAGAGGGCTACAACCGAATAACTCAGCCTATTCTCTAGGGCTTCTGTTATATATATATATATATATATATATATATAATGCAGCATATTTTATACGCCAATAAATGTAGGTAATATACAAGGAGGTGAGATTGTGAAATGGCTCAAGCACAAGATGTCGAGTTGAAGTATCAAATAACACAACGATTAACGCGCAAAGGTGAACTGATCAATGTATCAGCCCACTATATCTGCTTTTGAACGAGTCACCTAGGAAGGCTCTGTTTTGTCAGGCGCTGACCAGAACAAAACTGAAATTGTCAAAGGGAGGCTTCCCTTCTCAACCTTAACTGGATCAGCGTAATAGTGTAATACCAAAAATTCAATCAATAGCGCAAGTTCAGGATCCAACCTCAATCCTTCTGGATCATGAAGCAAACTCCAAGACTATATATATGACACAATCCAAAGGAAATAAAACCCCACAAAAACAAGAAACCGTTGGCTATAGCAGTTTCATCAAAAGCTCCATTTTCTATATATTGGAAAACACGAGAATTAGCCAGAAACAAAAACAAAATGGGATCAGCTACCATGAAAGCTGCTAGTAGTAGCATTTTTTGCACTTGTCTCTTTTCCATGATCATCAGCTTCAGCTCTAGCTATGCTAGGCCTTCATACTAATCTTTCTTAACTTACAATATGAAGGAACAGATGGGACGCACAATAGAGCCATTCTTTGTTGCATTACAAGTCCTTGTACTTACCAATGCACAACTCAGAGCTCCATCTCCCCCTCTTTCTGAAAGCAGCTTGAAAGTGACAATTGTCAGATCTTCGGCCTGTCCCTCTGTTTCGTATTCAAAAAGCATTACAGCAAAGTAATCATTTCCTAAATCAACAAGATCAACAGCACCTCCATTTGGTATGCCATCCAATAAAAGTGGCATTTTTACCGCTTTCCCATCGCAAATTTGAAAGAGACAGACAGGAAGATGGACGGCAGGCATAATGCACAAGAAGATATTGTCTTTATATAGGATGGCTTTTTTCTCAAAAGGAAATGGAGGACCGCAACCATCTAGGTGTCGCACAAAATGTTCGGCAGGTTGAATCGGGAAATCAGAAAATAACTCACAAGCCTCCCACTCCCACTGCACAGTGTCAAAAGCACACGCGTATTCCCCAGTCGAAACACACAACCTTGAACCAATCACTACATATGAAAAGAAGCCCCTAAACATAATGGAGTAACTACCTTTTTTGAGAAAAGGAGGAATCGGCAGATCAGCCCACCTATCCTCTGAAGGATAATAAACCTCAAAGCCGATGTCAATTATATCAGGAGATCCATAGCTGGGCAGGGGGCCAGATAGAACATAGATGCAACCATCAATTTCCTCTATAAGCGGGAAATACTTTGCCCCATGCATTGGGCACTTAATCTCTGCTCGAGAGTTTCCTAGAGGAGTTGAGAGAGAGATGCAACTGAACTCTCGGGGCAACCTGCCTGGCTCATACAAGTGCCTCTCTTCCTCATCGGCCTTCACACCACCAACAACATAAACCAAACCTCCAGTATGAATCAAACTCATAGCAAAGTAATGTGGAGTGCATGCATCAAATGCATCCTTTATCTCATGCCAGACAAACTCCTCTTTCGGTTTAAGCCTGCTTGAAGAATGGTGAATCAATTTCCGAATTGGAAAAGACTTGAAAGAATAAACCATTGGATCCGCATAACCATCCACTTGCGTTAAGCACACCACGAGGTTTCCTGTTGTTTTCCTTTCATGCTTTCCAAAAATACAGCTGAAGGACAGTCTCCCAATTCTCCCTTTCTCTGTTGTTCGCGACATGCTTAATCTGAGCAAAAGAAATCAATTTAGCAACAGAAGAATGAGTGACGCAACAGCCAAATTGAAGCTGTACAAAAGAATAACCGTGAATGAAAAACCAAAAAACGAATAATACAATTTGTTCTTTCACTTTCTGCATCAGACACGCCCAAATTTCAACCCCAAAAAGAAAAAATGAATGTCATCCAGGTCAAGGCATCGAACAAATATGCTCACACAGGAAGGCCAGCAGTTGCACAAATCTAAGAAGATCTTGTCATGAAGTCAATTAAAGGCGTGAAGTCAGAAGGAGGGTAGGCGTGAAATCGGAAGAAGAAACAAGCAAAGCGTGATTCCAAAAACCACGCTTTTGCTGGGAATTAGTTCTGCAACAAACGCACAAGAACACAACAGAAGCTCAGCAGCAAACTTTCAAATGGATGAAACAGATTCTCAGCCACTTGGCCACGTGGGCGAATATGATTGGAAGGTTTGGAAGTTAGTTATTAGCTGATAGTTTATATAGGGATCGGGTGAATGTAATAGGGGGCAGAATTCTTGTGTAATTTCAACAGAATTGAGCTGAACCTCATTCTGATTCCCTTTTTTCCCAAATTCCTTCATTTCTGTTCATCTTCTCAACTTTCCCGCCCTTTTCTGTAATTCTTCATTCATCAATAAAATAACTTCTGAGTTATCTTCCAGCTTACCCCCATTGTTTAATTGATTGTTTATCAAGTTTGTTTACCAATTTCTGTTATCACATTGGCAATTCCTTATAGCTCAGTCTGGCCCCATGACAGATCTAGATGAAACAACTCTCCCTAACTCTAATAACTCCCTCTTGGACGAAAATATCATTTATCATTTAGCAGTTGCGATTTGCAAGATAAGGATCTTAAAGTCCGGTAAGATCTCAAATAAAAAGGAAAAAAAATAAAAACGGAATAAATAACCAAAAACAAAACTGCAATCAAAATAACCATCAATGAAAGAACATAAAAACAAAGGGATACACTTTGGTTTTCTTCATCAGGCCAGCCCAGACTTCAACCAAAAGTAAACAATAATAATTATAACAAAATAAAACAGAATAAAGTAGACTACTTCGCCTGTAAAAGATCAAATAGGAAGACAGAAAGGCCAAAAAAAAGAAGCGAACAAAAGCGAATAACCAAGCATTCACCGTTTGCTCTGTGATCTTCTAAAACAGAAGCTTATTAGGAGCTATGTAAGCAGTAAGAGGATGTTAGATATGAAAATATCTCTAGCAAAAGCGCTCGAGTTAGAACAGAAGAAAAAAGGGCGACGGCTAGATCTGAAAATATCTCTTGCAAAGCCTTTGCTGGAATTGGACAGCAGAAGAGGGAGACGATTGCTGATTCTAAGATTTGATGACGCCCTAATTTTGCGCTGGCCGAGAGCCTTCTTTTGATTTAATCGTTTAATCCACCGCCACCGTCACCGCCACCGTCTAGGCCCCGGATCCACATTGGAATTAATAAATTCAGATTCGGAGCTGTTATACTATACCCGCTCCAGATTTGGCCTGGATATCGGAAAGATCTTTTTCTCCCGTAATCGGATTAGATGGATCTTGGATCCGAGTCGGGCCTATCCTGAAAAAGGCCCGTCAAAAGCCTGTTTTAGGGTTTGGTGTGTTTGACTATTTGGATAATAGTCAGAAAAGTAAATTTGGGATATTACATTAATAAATATATAATTTTTTAAATTATTAATCAATTTATATTCGAGTGTGAAAGTCGAATATGGGTCGGAATACCACATTTCGTATCCCTTCTATTTTTTGTTTGACAAAACGGATCCGAGTCCGAGTCAGAGTCTCGGAATTATATCCCTATCCGTATCCAAAATAATTTGATGGATCTAGTCCGGATTTAGATCTGTTGATAAGCCTTGCCACCGCCACAACCTCTTGTTTGGGCTGTGTGTTCGGGTGCCACTTTTAGCGAACAAGGGAACTTGCTAAGGTCCATACAGCCGCCAACACAAGTTGGCTCAATGTTTGGGTACTATTTTTAGAGAACTAGAGAACTTGCTAAGATTCATACAACCACTAACACAAGTTGGCTCAGTGGTAAAAACGGAACACTTACTCACAAAAGATCGTATGTTCGAATTTTCTGCCAATGTGAAGGCTATGTTGGTTAGTAATCTGAAAGTATCTCTGCAAGTGACCTAAACCTATGGCTCCGAAAGCTTGTCGGTCTCGTGGTGATGATCGGAACCGAACCCACCCAAACTTTTAATTGCCATAAAAATGCCTTGCATAGGGATGGCAACCGGGGCGGAAACCCATTTTAAATGGGACGGGAGGCGAGGAACGATACCCCCGCCCCATTCCCAGCTTTAATTTATTAATATAAATAAATGTAATATATTATATAATCTAATAATAACATACTTAAAATATTTGGCAACTAAATATTACCTTCACCAACAATATCCTTCACAAACATTTTATCAAAAACCTTTCTTGCCTTATTAAGAAGTCTAGAATTCCCATACCTGGAGGGCAAATTCCTAGACTCCAACTTCTTTACAAGCAATTCACCATTCAAATTATGAAATAAAGATGTTTGGTGTAACGGCCCCACCTCCCCCTAAGGCGAACCAGAGGGTTCGGCGGGCCGCCTGCCCAGCTCTCGCCGGGACTCAGTCGCTCACTACAGTCCTCAACCCAATTACAATATAAATCTCAAAATTTCATCAAATTCTCCAATGATTACATATTACAAATGCAGCGGAAACTGATTCCAATCGTAGAACGTATACTTACATCCATATCAATTTCAAATATTTATACAAGACCAACTCGTACATAAAATAGATCCAAACTTAAACTGTACACGATATAAGCCATCCAGTCACGTGAATAAGCACTCCAAGCTTTTCTTCGCCTTGAGCCCTGTGGGGGGGGAAATAAAACATTTTTGGGGTGAGCTAGAAGCTCAGCGAGTAACCATTAAAATCAGTAATCAAATCGGTTTCACAATATTTCTTTTCAATGATGTCATAAATCAAATGATAAGTCCAGAAACGATTACAGCATTTACAAAACATTAAATATGGAGTATCAATAATTCAAGAAACATGTACAATGGAAAGCGATAGTAACATTCATGAAAGGATACATTCATTCTCCTGACATTTCCTCGCTCATTTGATCATTTATTTCATTTCATTCACCCCGTCCCTGGCTTTTGGCCAGGCTCCACCAACCTACATAGATAATACTCGAGTATACCAAACGTTCACCCAAGTTCCTAATCGCCTGACCGAGTCCGCTTCTGGCTCAAGACGACCGGTAACAAGGGGTAATGGCCAGTTCAGCCCAAAAGGCTTACATTCATGCGCAAGTAACATTTCAATCGAAAATTTCACATTTATCGATGTCGAGTGCGATAAAGTACACACTCGCCTCGAAAACTCGTTTTGGAAATCATTATAAGCGCTTAACACGTTATCAACCAAAATACAAGTCATGAAGTCAAGAAATATAGCAAACATGGCACACTCACATGCCAGCACGCATGATATGCAAGAAAACATTTCAAAAGTAACTTTGGAAACAGTTCAAAAGTAAATAATGTAAGAAACGGATCATAAATAACTTTAGAAGTAGTTTGAGGTCACTCACCTCCACGGCTCTGAAACCATCCATCATATAGCATTGCCTTGCTCAAATCCAAACCTTAGATCACAAACTCAAAGCAACCAAGTCCTTTAAAAGTTCGGACAGCACTTCCCCTGAATTTGCTAACTTTTCCAGCCATCATGGCTTCATTATATCCTCAACCAGTCCCAAAGGTACACACACAACAACAAGCTCATCCAATAGCCATTCAGCAAGCTTCAAGTAGTACTAGTACAAGTCAAGCTAGGGAAAAGTCTGAAAATGAAGGTAAGCTCAAACCAGAAAAACAGTTTTGGACGTCACTTTGCGGTAATGGCACAACTTGCACTACGATTATCGGATTAGGGTGTAAGACCCACCATCTCGAAGCTAAAAGACAGGGCTACAACAATGTAGAAGGCCACTCAGTCCAAATCCTAGCACAACTAGGTCAAAAATGCAGAATACCAAACCAGAACCGTAATTGCAGGTTCCCAAATCACACAATGCTGTAATTCGTCCAACTCAGCCTACACAGGTCCAAATGCATTGATTCCAAAGGCATATGATAGCTAAGACATCAAGATACATTTCATCAGAAGACACCAACAACAAAATCCAAACCAATTCCAGTCAAAACAGACGATTACAATCGCAGTTCGCACATTCTGATCACCAAAAACAGCAACAGTAAAAATGGCATAACTCACTCTATACTACTCCAAATGCCCTGAAATTTTGCAGGCACTTCAACCTCATCAATACCTACAACCTTTATGTTTTGAGCAAAGTCCAATTCGGCCTCTATCTATGACCTAAAATTTCGGACAGAATGTAGCTTCAAGAACCCTAATTTTCCAGAAATTCTTCCAAATTCAAAATTGATTGCATTTAACAACAATTCACACCTACAAGAGTCATTTTAAACCATTACCATTCATCATACAAGACCACAACATCCCATTCATATTAAACCAGCAAATTCATCATAAAATGGAAAACTTCACCAAAACTCTTCAAATCAAGAAATAAATCATATAATCCATCACTTTAGCCACTTCTAAGCCAAACATAAGCATCATTAGATGTAGTAGGGTGTTCAAGCATCACATACCAAGAAATCAAGAGAGATAGGGATTGTGGACACCTTAGCTCTTCAAATCAACTTCACTAAACAACTCACAAACACTAAGTGAAGAGGTTTTATGGAGAAATTTGAAGTTTTAACGGTTGGATCAAGAGATTGAGCAAGAAAATGGAAGGCAAAAGTTGAGGGATTTTCTTTCTTTTCTCCTTATGTTGCTCGGCCAAGAAGAACCAGAAAATGAAGAAGATTAAGTTAGTTTATAAGGTAAGAAGGTAGGAAAAATAAGGATTAATTTCCACCACAAGTTTGGCTAACACTTGGTCTAATTTCAACCATACAAATTTTCTCTTTCCTTGTTTTTTCTTTGCCTTAAATTTCGGCCAATAGGATGGCCAAGAGGGGGAAGATATTTTGCTCCATTAATGATAAACTTGTATGGCAAGAAAGTGGAATCAAGTGGTGCATTTAACCGGTAGTGCGTGGGTCCCACGTTCAAAATACGCTTTTAATTTCTAAAAAATTAACTGAGACTAGAAAAATCATTTTAAAACTATCTTTGCTCATAAACTTTATCTGGGGAATTTTTCTAATCAAAAAAATGTAGAAAAGGCGAGCGTTTAAAAAAATAAACCCTAGAAAATTAGAAAATTTTCAGGTTCTCAAACTCTTTTTTTTTTCGGGGCGTCACATTTGGACATTGATTTGGAGATGCCAAATTCCTAGTTGATATTTTGCACAAGTATGTTACGTTCTCTATGAATATTCCCAAATATTATCTATACAATCTAATTGAGACTCTTAATTTTCTGTATTTTATTTCATGTTTTTCTTTTCTCTACAATCTAATTTTTATCCCTTCATGTTTCTCTTTCCTACGTGGCTTAACGAGACGGCAAGTAGTTTTCTACGTGGCTTGCTCATTTTTTGTTTGGATGTATATCAATTCTTATTTCCTATAAGAATTCTTAATATTATATGATTTTTATTCCCTACCAAAAAAGGAACTGGAAAGTAATGCGATATACATAAAAGAGACATAAATATCTCTATTAGATATATCTCCAAATTCATGCCAATAATTTGTGTTCTGTATAGGGAACTAAAGTAAATAAGAATTGTTATCACTACAAGAAGTAGAAAAGTAACTAATTTCAAAAGGAACCATTAATAACATAAGTCAATATCTGATGTTGGAAATAGGATTCTTAATAAATTTTATTATTAAGTGCGTTATCAAGACATAGTGCATAGCACGAAATTTATGGAAAAGAAAAAGTTAATTGAATCCAATTAACTTTATGTATTTGACCCGTACGGTCAAATATAAATTCCTATTTGAGCACGGGTTTGTAAATTCCTATAAACCCGTACGATCAAATATAAATTCCTATTTGAGATGCATTTACGAGCAAATGAGACATCTAAAAGGATGCTGTCATTTGAGTTTTGTGGCCCCTATGGCTGAAGTTTGCTAGAGGAAATCGTGTCATCAATTATAAATAAGATCACGTGAAAACCTTTTGTGTTCTAAATCAAGTTGAACAATTACAATCTGGAACAAGGTAGTAATAGATTTACAGTGACTAGATGGTTCCACTGTGATTTCGGGAGAGAAACGCATTGCATGCTTTCACAGGTAATGTGCAATAAATTTCTCTTATATTTCACATATTATATCTCACATAATTTTTTTTCCTTTAATTTTGATAAATCATTATCAGATTGATGGAACCGACAACCAATACCAACCTGAAACATCTTCTTCCCAGACCCCAATTAGTAAAACAGATAATTCTAATCAACAACATTTCAATACACTTCATATGAATCATTCATC